GTGTTTTTGTATATACTCTAAAGTCTTTATGCTTCTGAGGCAATTATATATATAATATACACATAAATATATTATATATAATGAGCTTATACATATATGTATAGCTTTTAATCAAAGTTCTTCCATGTAATATTGATCTTCAACAGTGTAATAGACATTTTTTTCCTTAATTTGTGACCCTTTTTAATCTTCTCATTATTTTTCACAATGTTTTCTAAATTTAAACAACTGACCTTAAATTTTAACCTGAAGCTTATTGTATTTTCAGCTACATATTTTAAGCAGTTTTTTCTTTTGTGCCTACCAAAATTCAAACATGATTCGTCTGAAAATAAAGTCATTACGTTCTTCACTTTGTCTCTATATGGAGCTCCAAGATTAGCCTCTATCAATTCCTCCTCTATTTCCTCCTCATTCTCTCCTTCCTCCTCCTAATTCTTCCTTTCTCCTTTTAAAAAAGTTAGTTTCAGAAGTAGAATTTAGTGATTCATCAGTTGCATATAACACCTAGTGTTCATTACATCAAGTGTCCTCCTTAATCCCATCACCCAATTATCCCTTCCCCCAACTCACCCCCCTCCAGCAACCCTCAGTTTGTTTCCTAGAGTCCCTTTCAATTTACATCTTATTTTATTTTTCTTTCCCTTCTCCTATGTTCATCTGTTTTGTTTTTTAAATTCTACATATGAGTGAAATCATATTTTTTGTCTTTCTCTGACTGACTTATTTTGCTTAACATAATACCTTCTAGTTCCATCCAAATCATCGCAGATGACAAGATTTCATTCTTTTTGATGGCTGAGAAATATTCTATTACATATTTGTAATGAGAAACATTCCATTACATACAATATTCCATTACATATACCACTGCTTCTTTATCCATTCATCTGTCGATGGACATCTGAGTTCTTTCCATGTTTTGACTTTTGCAGACATTGCTGCTTTAAACAGGTGCTTCAATTCATTATGTTTGTATCCTTTGGATAAATACCTAGTAGTGCAGTTGCTGGGTTGTAGAGTAGTTCTATTTTTAACTTTTTGAGGAACCTCCATATTGTTTTCCAGAGTGGCTGCCCCAGCTTGCATTCCCACCAACAATGTAGGAGGATTCCACTTTCTCCACATCCTTGTCAACATCTATCAACATAAGTTGTTCATTTTAGCTATTCTGACTAGTGTGAAGTGGTATCTCATTGTGGTTTTGATTTTTATTTCTCTGATGCCAAGTGATGTTGAACATTTTTTTCATGTGTCTGTTGGCCATTTGTATGTTTTCTTTGAAGAAATGTCTGTTCATGTCTTTTGCCCATTTCTTGACTGTATTTTTTGTTTTTTGGGGGTTGAGTTTGATAAATTCTTTATAGATTTTAGCCTCTTATCTGATAAGATATTTGCAAATATCTGCCCACATTCCATAGGTTGTCTACATTTACTAAGATGTTCATATGCTCCTTTTTATTTTAATTTCTCTCACCAACTAAATACAGCTGTCTTTTACATCCAGAATGTATGCCAACTCTAGACAATGTATCTCTTGAAAATCACCAGTAAACTCTTTTTGTATCACTTACCTCCATGCATCATTGCCTGACTGAAAGCCTCCAATAAGCAGTTACAGAATTGATATAAAAAAGGGTGAGGGAAGGAAAAAGGGAGCAAATGAAGTAAGAAAACCAATCACCATAAGAAATCATTTCAGCGGACATAGAATTAAAGGAAGTCATTGATATTTAAATCATTTAGTTAATATATATGTTCAATGATGAGAAAAGATATTTTACCCAGTATACAAAAGTGATTTTCTAACAAAACCAAAGTATGGAAATCATTAGAAGCAATATGGTGTGGTCCAACCATATTTTTACTTCCCAAATATCTGTAAGTGAAAAAAGTGGGTAGGTCATCCCATTTATTGACAAGGGCTTTGGGGAAATAGTACCTAAATATCTAGTAATGACTGAAATAGCCATGAAGAATTGTAATATTTCTGTATTTATTTATTTTATTTTTTTAAAGATTTATATTTATTTGACAGAGAAAGTAAGAGAGCACAAGCAGGGGGAGCAGCAGAGGGAGAGGGAGAAGTAGACTCCCCACTGAGCAGGGAGCCTGATGTGGGGCTCAGTCCCAGGACCCTGAGATCATGGCCTGAACTGAAGGCAGACGCTTAACCAACTGAACCACCCAGGCACCCCAAGATTTCTGTATTTTTTAATTGGAAAAAGAGTCAAAACCAATTACTGCCAGATGCACAGATTTTATTATTTAGGAATTATGAGTTACACAATGTAAATATGAAATTGATGATAAAGGTAGATGTTTATGTAGTATTTCTTTAACCCTTCTATAATTGATCATATATATTCTTTAAACTTTTTCTCCTTTCTTTACTTGTGTATCAATATTTGACTGCTGATTATTAAAGATAACATTTTAACTTGGAACATATTTGTTCAAAGCTACATAAAATTATACATCTAGATGAGTAAGGTTAAAGTGCCTTCATGAAAGAATAAAGCAACTCACAGTTCCACCAAGGAACAAAAAACACTTACCTTTCCACAATACTGCATACACATTTTACAAGAAAAACTAAGGCATAAAAATGTTACCTTTAAACTCTGTGTAAATTAGAAATCTACATGATGCTCATGAGGATTTTACTGTAATGGAAACCTCCAACTCATATCCCTACCAAACTTTGTAGGGTTAGTCTGAATACACAAAATTTTATTTATTTACTTTTTTAGTCTTAGGAGAATGTATGGTTATAGATCGTATTATATTCTTCCTAGTAGCCTTGTTTGTATTTTTTAATTTTAATTTAATTTTTATTATGTTCAATTAGCCAACATATAATACATCATTAGTTTTTGATGCAGTGTTCAACAATTCATTAGTTGCCTTGTTTTTAAATAAAAATAAATAAAACATTAGTGGGAAAAATGAAGTGATAAATGGTACTCTGGATAATCACCCTTAATATCTTCCCAATTTACAGTAGATAGAGTACCCCTTTCCTGCCCTATCTTCAACTAACTCCCAAATCAGTTAATGATATGTGATGTGAAATATTTCCTTAATAATAGCAAATGTGTATTTGAGGGAAATGTATATACCTAACACATTAAAGAGAAAAAGCTGCCCTCCTCACTACAGACTTGATGCACAGCCAATGCATTGCAGACTAGTGGGAGTTGCAGTCAAGGACTCAGGACTCATTGGCTGGTCATGCTCTTATATATTTCCTTTCCTAGCTGTGGTGGCACTTTAATTGCTAATTCTATTTATCAGAGGTCCTCTTCAGGTGGCTCTTCCAAGACCTCCTTACAGCAGGGAAAAGGGGAAAAACTTTAAGACACTTTTCCCTACTCTGACTCAACACCAGGTACTTTTCCATTCTTAGCCTTTTATTCTTACCACACACACCCCTACCCTGGACTCCATAAAAGAATTACTAAAAGTTAAATAATTTGGTCAATCATTAGGACACAATCAAAGTTCTCACATCACTGACAGGAAGAGTTATTGTAACTACCTTATTTTGCCTTTTATAAATAAGAGTGAAAGTTTTGTGCGTGTGTGTGGTAGACAGAATCCTAAACTTTCCCCATGATTTATTTCTCCTGGCATTGCCCCTATGATTACGTTATTCTATAAGGAGAGAGTGAAGTGAGTGTACCAATGTAAGTAAGATCCCAAATCAAATGACTTCAAGTTATCTAAGGTAGCTTATCTTGAGTTGCTTGTCTTAACCAGTTGGTAGACCTTTAAAAGAGGACTTAGGCTTTTCCTTAGGTGACAGACTCTCCTGCTGGCCTTGAAGAAGTAAGATAATGAGTTTTTCACGTGCAGAGAAATGAATTATTTCAACAGCCGTATGAGCTTGAAAGATGACCCTGAGCCTTAGATGTAACTGCAGCCTCAGCCAACACCTGGATTGCCACCTTGTGGTACCTTAAGCAGAATACTCAGGTTAGCCATGCCAGAATTCCTACCTATATATATTGGGACTTTATAAACAGTTATTATTTAGAGCTGCTGAGTTTGTGTTCATTTGTTATGCACAAGGAAAAGTAATTCAGTTTCAAAACAACAGAGTTTGAAGAAAAGAGTTAAAATTCAGATAGTGGCTGTTGCTCATAAAACAAAAAGAATCCCCAGAATTCTGCTACATTTCATATCAATATAATTATTACACTATCTATAGTGATGTCACACATGACACATGATTTATAAAAAACTATCCAGACTTCAGAAAACCTAAACTTTTATATTTATAAAATTGATCACTTTTCCATATAATTATAGTACACACCCTTATAATGATCAAGACATTTAAGCATGAAAAGATCAGACTTTGAGGAATCACATTTCAGTCTCCCATGTAAAAGGCTGATGTCTACGGAAAAGTAGGAGTTCCCTAATCCTCTGATATCCTGAAGGAGGACAATGTCCATTACAAGATAGACTCAATATGCCTAATGATCAATCTGATGATCTTTTCTCTATCTAGATAAAGTATATTAATTTTTATAATAATCTTATAAATCTATAACTTGGTATATAATTAAGTTAGTGTTTCACTTTAACAAACTGATCTAAACAAGGTATGATATTGGACTCTGGAGAATGTTTTGATTGGCCAAATGTAAAACTACCATATATTTAAAAAAGTTTATCAGTGCCCTGTTTGTATTATGTGGTATTGTGACTGGAAATATCTCTCTGTTGTTAACTGGTATTGCAAAAGACAGACTATACATTGTGCATATTATCTTACAGCAAATATTTACTTATAGCCAAACTTTGAAGTTTCCATAACAAAAGAAATATAATATTTGAACAAAAAAGCATGCTGACAGTTTTTCCCTTTCTAAATCTTGTGTACGTCTTTATAAAACTTTTGATACAAGGATAGGTAAACATTGGGAGCTGAACTGTACCAGCTGAATAGATCAATTTCAGCATAAAGCAAAGAAGACAGAAAAAAGTTATTAGGCAATTTGCTCTCCAGACTTGCTCTTCCCCAACACCTTCACGAATGCTCTGGCCACTTCCTTGTTGCGGAGGCTGTAGATGAGGGGATTCAGCATGGGAGTAAGGATGGTATAGAAGGCTGACACCATCTTGTCCTGGGTGGGGGAACGATCAGAAACAGGCCGCATGTATACAAACATGGCTGCTCCATAGTACATTCCTACCACCATGAGGTGGGAAGAACAGGTGGCAAAAGCTTTTTGGCAACCCTCCCCAGACCCCATGTGAATGACAGCCACAATAACACAAACATAGGAAGCAATGATTACTGCTACAGGAAAGAGAAGCATAATTACACAGCAAATAAACATTAACCTTTCAAATAGCAATGTATTAGTGCATGAGAGAGTGAGAAGGGCAGGGACATCACAGAAAAAGTGGGGTATTTCTCGGGCACCACAATATGGGAAAGACAGTGCAACTGCAATGACAATTATACCATCAAGAAAGCCAACAATCCAGGAAGAAACAATCATAACACAACAGATTTTCTGGTTCATGAAAACTGAGTATCGTAATGGGTGACAAATGGCAACATAACGGTCATAGGCCATTGTAGCCAACAGGAAACATTCTGCTCCAAGCAGGGACACATATAAGAATATCTGGGCTCCACAACCAGCCAGAGAGATGGACTTCCTGCCAGATAAGTAATTGAAAGCCATCTTGGGTACAGTGGTGCAGATGAGCATGAGGTCCATGAGGGACAGTTGGCTGAGGAGGAAGTACATGGCTGTGTGAAGCTGGGTGTCCAGGTAGATGAGGAGAATCATGACAGTGTTTCCAATGAAGGCCACCGTGAAGACACCCAAGACCAGAGAGAAGAGGAAGATGTGGGTGAGGCTGTGATTGAAGATTCCCAGTAGGATGAAGTCTGAGTTGAAGGTCTGATTCTCCCATGCCATGATAAATGAATTCACTGTAGAGAATATAACATGTGAACAGTGGTCAAGACTGTGTCATGGAAATATCAAGGACTTCTAGCTTAAATCACCACACTTACATGTCTACATATGGAAAAAGTATTTCTCTGAGCATATATTTTTATTTATAAACTAGAAATATTAAAGTTTATTGTTGGCTTGATGTGATTTTAAAAAAATAAATGTAGATAACACACATAGTACATTTTATCATTAGAACATAAGAGGTTTCCCAAGACACATATAATCTAATTTTAGCAGCTAGTCAACTCAACTGTGTAATGTGGCTTATCACTTCAGAAATACACTAAGAGTCACAAGAAGGCTCATGAATTGCTGGGAATTCAATGAGATTTTCCACTGAACATAACATATCACCCTATGATACTAATACAGATTATGTCTACCAAGGTGTAGAAGGAATCATGTACTAGTGGAAATGAGATTATTCAAACACCAAGTAAACAGAAGACATTGAGAAATCATCAGTTAGAAGTACCTTAAGTAATACTTATTGCTAATAATGGTAAGTTGTAGTGGAAATAGTACCTCACCAATATGCCCATCTCTTACTCCCTCTCTTGGAATCTGATGTACCCATGAGATATTCTGGTATGGGTCGTTTTACTGGAGAAGTAGGTGAGGGTATAGTGAAAATGCCTACTTCAAAAGGCTCAAACATTATTTTTTTGTGTAATCTTAGATAATTAATTTCTCCAAGCCTCATTTTCCACTCTGTAAATTTTAGTATTTGTGAATATTAACATTGCAGGGTGGTATTAAGACAAATGAGATCACATTTATAATGTACAAACATAATTTTGGATATACTTTGTAACACATTTTAAAAATAAATACTATTGAAGAAAAGAGGGTTGGCTCCTCCTTTATCTTTAGACTATTTTCCTATGTATAAAATTAATCTCTCTCATTTCCTTAGCAAGAGTCTTGCAAGGGATTTCTTCACCTACACAGCAGCATATTTTTGATTTCCTACTTTCACAATCATTTTTTTTTTATTCTCTTGTTACTCTCTTCAATGATCAAGGCACTGGCTTCCTTTCTTTCTATTTGCATGGGCCTTCCCACCTCTGAGAGTCATTTAGAGAAGTGTGCTTGATGTTTCAGTTTGAGGTTTTGGAAAATGAAAAATGTCCATGTGGTTCTGCCAAATTTACTAAAAGTTTATATTTTGACAAAACCTGTAATTTAAAACATGATTTTACTATCATTTTTACTATTTACATATTTACTATTTACAATTTTACTATTTAGAATTTTACTATTGTTTTATCTGTTTTGTAATTTTTTTAACGATAAGTAAAACTTTAATAACTTGGGGTGTGGTTTAGGACTTAAGGTTTAATGGTCCTTTATTTTTTTAAAGATTTTATTTATTTGTTTATTTGAGAGAAAGAGACAGAGATAGTGAGAGAGAGCATGAGCAGGGAGGAGAGGGAGAAGCAGGCTGCCTGCTGAGCAAGGAGCCCTAAGCAGGCCTGATCCCAGGATCCTGGAATTGTGACCTGTGCCTAAGGGGGACGCTTAACCAACTGAGCCACTCAGGCGCCCCTAAAAGGGCCTTTTTGGTTTTAAAATATGTTAAGTAGTAATGAATATGTTATCATGCAAATAACTGTGAAAAATGTTTGAAATTAAGATCATTTATTTTTCAATGCACTCAAAACTATTTTAACCAATGTATATATACTTCTCTAACATGGAAGGAATGTATACATTATATATATAATATTGTATGTTACATAAAATATTGTATGTTACATCTGATTACAACATATTCCATGCAGCTAAATTATTTTTTTGCTTTGTTTTGCTTTTTGCTGCTAAATTATTCATGAAAACTTGTCCTACCATTATTTTTATGGATGAACAAATTATATAAAATGTTTTAAGTGAATTACTAATGAAATAAATGTCTATGGCATAATATTGCTGCATACTTACTTTTCATCTTTTTAAAAATTTTTATTGTTATGTTAATCCCCATACATTACATCATTAGTTTTTGATGTAGTGTTCCATGACTCATTGTTTGTGTTAAAGAGGGCACGTTCTGCATGGAGCACTGGGTGTTATATTTTTCATCTTTTAACATCATCAGTAAATAGATGGATTAATTTTGTGAGGGATGGCTTAGATATAATATGGCAGTATTATGCTGTTGTCTCCTTGTATTTGTACAAGCTTCTTATGGAAGTGCAACATATGTGTAGAAAGGAGAGTTGACTGAATTCATCTTAAGTATAGCATGGATGAAATTTGATACATGTTTGAATATGTGGCTACCACTCAGCTAAAAATATGGACTTTTTCCAAAAGATTTCCTATAACGTTTCATAGTCCATCACCCCCCACATGCAACATATAGTTTAATAACTCTCTCTAAAGCTTATGTTTTGCCTGATCTTTTGCCTTGACTTCACATAAATAATAGAGCATGTTATCTTTCGTGTATTCAAAATGGAACCTATCACACTCCTTCATCCCCTGTTCCTACCAACTCTTTGGCTCGCTTACCACCAGCCACACTGGCCTCCTCATTTCTGGAACACACTTGGCATGCTCAAACCCAGTGTGTTTGTACTGACTGTTCCTCAGACCATTCTCTATTCCTTAGATCAATCGCTCACTACTTTCAGGCTCTTACCTAAGTGCTTTCTGCTCCATAAATGGCCTCTTGCTAAATATTGTTTTGTTTTTATTCTCCTTAGCATTTCCCCCATCTGACACCAAACTAATTTATCTGATTTTTGTCTGTCTTTCTTCATTAGGATGTCAATTAAATGAAGGCAGAGATTTAATGAGTCATATTCAATAGATACTTAGTGAATCGAGACATATTTTTATAGGAAATGATTGTGATTTTTATTTTGGGGTTTAAACATCTTCCTTTCCGCTCTAGCCCTCCCTCTCCTGCAAAGGGGATGGTTGGTTTAGGAGTCCTGTATTGTGTGCTGGTCTGGATGATTTATTAAACTTTGTTGTTACTGTGTAAATGGATTGCTGATCTGGGGGGGACAAGCATCAAAAGGACAAAAGCTTTCTCGGGTTGCTTATATTAATCCTAGAAGACTTAGCGCCCCCCCCCCCCAGTAGCCTGATTAATTTAATTCTAACAGATCTCTGGTCATTTTTTTTCCTACAAGGTAATGATTTTAAGTAGTTGGGCTGCATCCTTGAATTATACACAGAATGTCAGATTCATTGGCTCTTTCAAGTTGGACCAGAATTATATAATTAACAAGTCTTTAAATTAGGAGATTAGGAGTGCCAAGAAAGCTACAGAGCCTGAGAAACTCCATGGGCCAGGTGCCTTTTTTTTTTTTTACCTGTATCTAATTGTTTTCTTATTTATCTTTCTGCTTTATTAGGGCCATATACTGCTGTTAAGCCCCAATCCTACTTACACAGCTGGGATCATTGCAGGAACTGAAATGTGCTGCCATCCTGCAGTTTATTCTATGTTCAAACCCAGAAATCAAATTTCTTTGCAGTAGCTTATAAAAGAGAAGTTGCTGGGGCACCTGGGTGGCTCAGTTGTTAAGCGTCTGCCTTCGGCTGAGGTCATGATCCCCAGGTCCTGGAATCGAGCCCCACATCGGGCTCCCTGCTCCACAGAAGTCTGCTTCTCCCTCTCCCACTCCCCCTGCTTGTGTTTCCTCTCTCACTGTGTCTCTCTCTGTCAAATAAATAAATAAAATCTTAAAAAAAAAAAAAAAAGAAGAAGAAGAAGAAAAAGTCCCTGCCTTCAAGAACTTCCTATTTGCGGGGCACCTGGGTGGCTCAGTTGGTTAAGCTGCTGCCTTTGGCTCAGGTCATGATCCAAGGGTCCTGGGATCGAGCCCCGCATCGGTCTCCCTGCTCCATGGGAAGCCTGCTTCTCCCTCTCCCACTCCCCCTGCTTGTGTTTCCTCTCTCACTGTGTCTCTCTCTGTCAAATAAATAAATAAAATCTTAAAAAAAGAGAGAAGTTGCTTAAGGAAGTGTTGTAATCATTTAGCACTGTCCCCCCCTTGCCTCCATTATTAATAAATGACAGGAACTGGCTCTATAATTAGGTCTCACTTGCCATCCCAGTTTCTGCTCATAACTCTATTTTACAGTCCATGTGCACTAACAAAATCTGGTGTGTTTTAATTCTACACCTCTCACAGTCCTTTCACATAAGCAAAATCATCTTTTTGTTTAGTCCATATCAGAGTTGAAGCATAGCAGTGTGGGCACAGTAGGACTGATCAAGACTAGGTGGTCTCTATTTGTGAGACACAGTTTTGAATTGTTATTTATCAACAGAGCAATGCAGTATTTAAGTTTATTAAGTGGAGAAATAGAGCCTGTATAGCCCTTTAATGGTTCCATGTTTTTCTTAATTGCTTCAAGCTGAACATTAATGAAAGGACACAGGAATATTATGTGTTATTATGTTATATTGCATTACCTCATATTTTGTCTAAACCACACCACAAACTCTCATTTACTTTATGGCCCCCTTACAGGAAACTAGAGAGAACAACGTTTTATGGTTGTTTAGGCACTTATTTCCAAACAGTAAACTCAGACTTCTCCAGTTGAAACTTACATTAGCAAAGCCTTAGTTATAGGATATTCAGAAGAATACATTCTCCTTTATATATATATAATATATTATGTTTTGGTATAGATTGTAGAGGTATGCACTGAAGGATAAATGCACATTATTTCACTATATGTATAGTATAATAATTTCCTCACAAATTTATTAACATCTTGAATTATCAAATCCTCATGTTTTGGAATAAAAAGTCATTGTTTGCCACAAATATCTTGAAAAATATACAACACAACTGTAGCTAAACAGTTTTTTATACTTATACTGACAAGTTTTTTTTATACTTATACTTACAGGTTAAAAGGGAAATTCAAGGGAGTGGGGTGGACAGAAGAGGGGGGAGTCATGTTAGCTAAGTAAAAACAGTGCACAA